TGTGATGAGGATTGGGAGTGAAAGGCGAAGAGGCTCTGATGGAGCGCACGACAGGGACGACGTCTCAGACAACGAGGGGATTCACGTTGTCATCGACGACTAGAATCAAGGTTCTTCACTCTCTTGCTCGTCGCTATTCTTTTTTCGAGTCTCTGTTTGTTCCAGGTTCTCGAGGCTGGAACCACGACTAGAATCAAGGTTTTTCACTTTCTTGCTCTTCGCTATTCAACCGAAAATATAGTTTTGATCATGTTTTGGTGGGATCGTGCAGGGACGTACACCTGGAGCAAGCCTGTGATGAAAAGAACACACCCTTCTCCTCGGGACAGCCACAGCTCCACGGCCGTCGGGTCTAAGCTCTATGTGTTTGGTGGTACCGATGGAACCAGCCCGCTAGATGATCTCTTTGTTTTGGATACTGGTAAGCGAGTTCTATCAAAATTTTTTTCTTCTTATCATCCAATGCAGCTACCAACACCTGGGGGAAACCCGACGTAAACATATAATAAACATATATTATGTAAAAGGAACTTTCATTATAAATATTATATTTATAATGAGTGTACCTAAGTAACACATACTTTATTAAGAGGAGAAATTATATAGTTTAATAAATCATCAAATAATAAGATTTTTATCAATTATATAGAGATTTCAAATAAAAGAAAAAATTAGTTAATAAAAAATGACTCATCTGGCCATGGGATCCCACAGTGAGAAATTCCATTTATAGAATATCCAAGACTTCAGTCAACAATCAGAATTTTAAATATAATATAATGTACTGAGTTATATTTATTATGTTATAATGTTTGTTGGTGATGGAGTCAATTGTTGAAGATATTTTTAATGTAAATATTATGTTATGTTTAACTATATATCTTATAATTATGATTATGTTAAAATTTACAATTACGCTTACAACTCTTTGAAATTATTAAAATATCAGAAATAAACACAATGCTCCCAGCGTAGCTGGGACTTTTGCTAGTCATCATCATCATACTCATAAAGAGCCAGTATAATAATAGCATATACTGGCGACACTTATTCTGGGCATATGCCAAAATCTAACGGCTGAGATTAAACAATGAAGAGCCCTGACTTTTGGGATCATAAAAAATTTCAATTCTCTTTTAGGGCGCGTGAGCATGAGGAGAGAGCGTCAATCACCGCTTGCGGGAAGGCACTCTCTCTCTCTCTCTCTCTCTCTCTCTCTGTTTGTTTCTCTGTTTGGAAAGGTTTGAGAGGCTCACGGCTTTCTCTGTGTCACCATAGTTGTGCTCGATGATCAGCGAGAACAGGCTCGACGCCTTCCAGACTTACGCGGGGAACAAATCCGCCGGCATCCGCCTGCGCAGGTGCATTTGGTAGATCGACGTCGGAAATGTGATGAGGATTGGGAGTGAAAGGCGAAGAGGCTCTGATGGAGCGCACGACAGGGACGACGTCTCAGACAACGAGGGGATTCACGTTGTCATCGACGACTAGAATCAAGGTTCTTCACTCTCTTGCTCGTCGCTATTCTTTTTTCGAGTCTCTGTTTGTTCCAGGTTCTCGAGGCTGGAACCACGACTAGAATCAAGGTTTTTCACTTTCTTGCTCTTCGCTATTCAACCGAAAATATGGTTTTGATCATGTTTTGGTGGGATCGTGCAGGGACGTACACCTGGAGCAAGCCTGTGATGAAAAGAACGCACCCTTCTCCTCGGGACAGCCACAGCTCCACGGCCGTCGGGTCTAAGCTCTATGTGTTTGGTGGTACTGATGGAACCAGCCCGCTAGACGATCTCTTTGTTTTGGATACTGGTAAGCGAGTTCTATCGATTTTTTTTTTCTTGTTCTTATCTTCCGATGCAGCTACCAACACCTGGGGGAAACCTGACGTTTTTGGTGATGTTCCTGCTCCGAGAGAAGGACATAGCGCATCTCTCATCGGTGACAACCTGTTCGTGTATGGGGGATGTGGGAAATCCAGCGATCCCTCAGAGGAGGAGTACTACAACGACCTCCATGGTTTGAACACGAGTAATATCCTGTTATCTTTCCTGGTTTTCTTCTAAACTCTTTTTTTTCCTGTAGATACTTTTGTCTGGAAGAAGATTTCTACCACTGGAGTCTTGCCTATTCCTTGGGATATCCATACCTACTCTTCCTATAAGAACTGTTGCATTGTCATGGGTGGTGAGAACGGTGGTAATGCCTATCTATATGACATTCATATTCTGGACACAGGTACATACATTGTGCTGGTTTTAAACTTGCGAATTCATTTGTGTTTCCAGAAACAATGGCATGGCAGGAGGTAAAGACGACTGGTGCCGAGCTGATGCCAAGAGCTGGTGAACGCAGAGCGAGGCATATTATTCTTCTATGGGGGATGTAACGAAGAGCTTGAAGCTCTGGATGACATGTATTTCGTCGACACAGGTTGGCTTCTTCTTTTATTGACATTGCTGCTGACAATATGGTTGCCGTTTTTCTGTGAAAAGATGATGAGGGAGAAAGATCCATCAGAACCAAAGCTACCCATGCGTAAGGAACTTAAGAGATCGTGCCACGCCATTCGTGCTAGACAAGCAACGGGATGCGGACAAGAGCTTGGTTTCATCTCACGGAGGTATCTGCAGAAAACCTTGGACCTCTCCAAATTTTCTCTGTCAAACTCATGCTACAGAGTTTCAAGCTCACATTCAGCCACTAGGCAAGAAAATGTTCGAGGCTAGAGTAAGCGACGTATTCAACTACGGATACACGTAGAAGCCTCCATCGATGGGAAGCTCTTCCGTGGGCTGCTCTTCTCGTACAAGCCTGGCTTTGCTCAGGCAGTGCAATCTTATATCCTCAGTTACTCTCTAATGCCAGGAAGGAAAACATCACAGGAGGAAACCACAGGACGTCCAAAAGGCCGTAGTAAAGGCTAACCGAGCAAAGAGGAGTTCAAAGAAACCATGGATATCCATACTTGCTCTTCCTATAATTATTAAAGTTTCACAAAGTCTTTATTACACAGCCTCACCTTTTTTTTGTTCTTCTGGATTATCAGTTGTTTCTTCTTTGTCTACACAATACAAAAGATTGTTTTTTAGTAATGTGCTTTTTTTTGTTAGTTTACCTTCTTTATAATCTTCTGTGAACATAGACGTGAAAAGGTGATACACTGCTAGAATCCTTCCTAATCGACTCTCTTTTGCAGAGTGGGTGCTAATACATGGTCCCTACTTTACACTTCTATAACGCAAAAGCTACAGGCTTGCCACAAAGAGGGGTATAAACTGGTGAAGTGCAATGATTTCCCTCCTCGGAAACGGTAGTGTGGTTGCTCTAGGATCTGACTGGCCTGTAAGCCTGTCAAATACTTTTTCTTCGGCGTTACATGAATGGTTTGTCTCAAGGTGGTAGCAGTGAATCCACTTGGAGGAATCCACACAGCCGTGGAGAGAACACTTCAGGCTGGAGTCATCCCAAGGAAAGGATTTCTGCATGGGACGTAGTGGCAGGGTAAGAGATAACAGATGAGAAACTGAAATGCAGTTTTTGTTTTTGGATTCACAGGTACACATCCTCGGCTGTGTATGCAGCTGCATTAGAGGATTTGGTTGGGTCGCTGACGCCAGGAAAGTTTGCTAACTTTGTGGTATTGTCCGAGTCTCCTTTTGGACAGGGCACGGGCATTTTTCCTCCAGTGGTTGTGTTCGTTGGTGGAAATTTTGCCTTCCCTTCTTAAGGCGTTATTCCATAATTATTTGGTCTTTTAAATATAGCATATTTGCGAAAAGATTGGTGATCATTGTCCTAAGATTGCGAGGACACCAAACATTTTCAAAGAAAAGCAACAAAGGCATCGGAATCTCACTTTGTTAATGAAATAGATAAGGTATTTGGTGTAAATTTGTGAGAAACATAAATTAAATTTAAGCTAACTCAAAATCTGATGATTTCCAGAATGTAAAATCACAAATAGCAGAGTTTCTATTTAGAAAAAAAACAGACACTGAGATCACCTCCACACTGAAAGATGCTCAGCCAATACATAACTTCCCTAAACTAGCTACATTGAGGGAACTATCACTGAAGTACGTATGAATTGTATCTATTTCTGACTTTAAATTTCCATTTCAGAGCGGAGGCACATCTAAAAATGGCAGTTGCTGAAAACCCAAAAGAATGTACTTGATCTTCCTCTAATCCCTCTCAGATGATTTTGTATTTTTTGAGCTGTATTTGTTATTATTACAGATTCAACAGCTGAACGGAATGATAAGTCTTATCAAGCGGTGGGCTATTCAATGAGCATGACAAATATTAAAATGAGATTGAGAAAAAGGAAAAACATCATGTCTTACAGATATTAAAAAATAGATTGAGAAAAAAGTTTTAATCTATACTATGGTCCTCTCATCATTAATTTGATGGTATAAAAAAAATTTCAAATTGCCAGAAAATAAACTAAATAAATCCAAATAATACAGCTCATCCAGCCGAACCAGATAGCAGCCCCCATGGAAGAGGAAGTCCATGTACGTATGGACGAGCTCCACCTGTGTAACAGACCACATGACATAGTTCCTCTCCTCGGGTGAGTGTGAAGGGTTTGGATTTGGCACACCAGCTTCTGCTTTAAAGGCAAAACCCAGCAGCAAACTTTGTTGAAAGGGAACCAATTTCTTAGCTTTGAAAAAGTAGCACTGGCTTTTGCATCGTAATTTTTAAATATTACAGCTCTTCAACGATGGTTTGCAATAGTTCCCATTACTCTACTTGGTAGATAGAAATATTGCTCTGCTGAATTACAATCATTTGGAACCTGCATAAAAAAAAGGCTTACACTTGACTTTTGTGTTTCTGGATTACACAACATCAACTTCTAGCATACAAGACACGGAAACAAGCATTCTTTGTGCAGAAAAATCATCCAGCACAAGACGATTATCACAGTCATA